CCCCCCGCCCCGGTGCCACACGTGCCACCCCGGGGTGGCGAGGAAATGCCAGCGGTGCCACCCCGCCCCCGCAGGATCCGGTGACAACGGACCGGCGACAATGGGGACAATGGGGACTCTGGGGACACGGGGCGAGCCCGGACGGGCGACAATGGGGACACCGGGAGAGCCCGGGCTGGGGACCTACCCCAGCCCATACTGGGGACACTGGTGCCACCCCAGCCCAGCCCATACTGGGGACACTGGGGGCACTGGGGACACCGGGGACACCGGTGCCAGCCCAGCCCACACTGGGGACACTACTGGGGACACTGGAGACACCCCAGCCCACACTGGGGACACTGGGGGCACTGGGACCCTACCCCAGCCCATTCTGGGGACACCGGTGCCACCCCAGCCCATACTGGGGACACTCCAGCCCGTTCTGGGGACACTGGTGCCACCGGTGCCACCCCAGCCCATACTGGGGACACTGGGGACACCGGTGCCACCCCAGCCCACACTGGGGACACTGGTGCCACCCCAGCCCATACTGAGGACACCGGTGCCACCCCAGCCCACTCTGGGGACACTGGTGCCACCGGTGCCACCCCAGCCCACTCTGGGGACACTGGTGCCACCGGTGCCACCCCAGCCCACTCTGGGGACACTGGTGCCACCGGTGCCACCCCAGCCCGGCCTCGCCGCGGGTGGCGGCAGGCAGGGGGCGGTGGGGGAGGGGCGCGGCCACCCCGCTGTCACCCGGGTGCCACCGTGCCCGGGCCAGCAGGTTCCTCTGGCAGCGGCCACCGGAAGCGGCGCTGCCACCGCGGTGCCACCGCGATGCCACAGCGATGCGACAGCGATGATGTGACAGCGCTGCCACGCCGATGCCACAGCGATGTGACAGCGGTGCCACCGCGGCGCTGGCCGTGTCACCGAGCAGAGCTGGCACCGTCCCCTGCCCGCCCCCGGCGCGGGGGGCGCGGCCCTGGCCGGGGTCCCGCTGTCCCCGCTGTCCCCTTGGGCCGTCCCCCTTTGTCCCGGTTGTCGCCGCTGTCCCCTCGGGCCGTCCCCCTGTCCCCTTTGTCCCGGCTGTCCCCGCTGTCCCCTCGGGCCGTCCCCCTGTCCCCTTTGTCCCGGTTGTCGCCGCTGTCCCCTCCCGGGCCGGATCCGGGCGGGAATTGCTGCGCCCTGACTCAGGCCGGGCCCAGCCGGAATTTCTGCCCCGGCCGCCCCTCCCTGGCCGGGATCGCCGGGATCGCCGGTGCCGGTGCCATAAATCCGGGACAGGCACGGGACAGGCGCGGGACAGCGCCGGGAGGGCACGGGACAGGGACCGGGACAGGGATGGAGCCGCTGGAGCTGCCCCGGGTAGGACTGGGTGTGTCCCCGGGGGGGTTCGAGGAGCGCGAGGCCTGGCTGGGCCCGGGGGGCTCCCCCCGGCCGTGTCCCTACGGAGCCCCCGCCGAGGGAGCGGCCCCGGAGCTCCGAGGTACGTCTGGTCCCAACCCCAAACCCCAAATCCTGATCCCAAACCCCAAATCCTGATCCCAAACACTGAATGTCATCCCAACTCCAAATCCCAAATCCTGAATCTCACCCCAACCCCAAACCCCAAATCCCATTCCAGAATCCCCCATGGAGAATGACCCCAAACCCTGATCTCAAACACCAAATCCCAAACCCCAAATCCTCAATGTCATCCCAACCCCAAATCCCAAATCCCAATCCTGAATCCCGAACCCCAAACCCCAAATCCCGATCCCAAACCCCAAACCCAAATCCCCCATCCCAAACCCCAAATCCTGAATCTCATCCCAATCCCAAAATCCAAATCCTGATCTCAAACACCAAATCCTGATCCCAAATCCCAAATCCTGAATCTCATCCCAACCCCAAATCCCAAACCCCAAACCCAAATCCCCTATCCCAAACCCCAAATCCTGATCCCAAACACTGAATGTCATCCCAACTCCAAATCCCAAATCCTGAATCTCACCCCAACCCCAAACCCCAAATCCCATTCCAGAATCCCCCATGGAGAATGACCCCAAACCCTGATCTCAAACACCAAATCCCAAACCCCAAATCCTCAATGTCATCCCAACCCCAAATCCCAAATCCCAATCCTGAATCCCGAACCCCAAACCCCAAATCCCGATCCCAAATCAGAGCCCCCCACGGAGGATGACATCTACTGCCGCTGCCTGTCCCAATCCCAAACCCCAAACCCCAAACCCCAAACCCTAAACCCCAAATCCCGATCCCAAACCCCAAACCCCAAATCCCGATCCCAAACCCCAAATCCCGATCCCAAACCCCAAATCCCGATCCCAAACCAGAGCCCCCCACGGAGGATGACATCTACTGCCGCTGCCTGTCCCGATCCCAAATCCCAAATCCCAAATCCCGATCCCAAACCAGAGCCCCCCACGGAGGATGACATCTACTGCCGCTGCCTGTCCCGATCCCAAATCCCAAATCCCAAATCCCGATCCCAAACCAGAGCCCCCCACGGAGGATGACATCTACTGCCGCTGCCTGTCCCGATCCCAAATCCCAAATCCCAAATCCCGATCCCAAACCAGAGCCCCCCACGGAGGATGACATCTACTGCCGCTGCCTGTCCCGATCCCAAATCCCAAATCCCAAATCCCGATCCCAAACCAGAGCCCCCCACGGAGGATGACATCTACTGCCGCTGCCTGTCCCGATCCCAAATCCCAAATCCCAAATCCCGATCCCAAACCAGAGCCCCCCACGGAGGATGACATCTACTGCCGCTGCCTGTCCCGATCCCAAATCCCAAATCCCAAATCCCGATCCCAAACCAGAGCCCCCCACGGAGGATGACATCTACTGCCGCTGCCTGTCCCGATCCCAAATCCCAAATCCCAAATCCCGATCCCAAACCAGAGCCCCCCACGGAGGATGACATCTACTGCCGCTGCCTGTCCC